TGGAGTCGGCCATCGCGGTTGTCATACAACTAATGGCAAAAATTGCTAAATTTCACTTAAGGACTTTTATCAACTGTGACGTTTAGAACGCAGTTAGAATTTTTTTTTTAATGAAACCTTCTTTACCAATAAATATGTTTATTCGTTTTCCGTTTCCTTGAATGCCATGGTGCCACTTTAAGAAGATCCAATTTCAGTGAGGAGAAGATATATTCATTATATAACAAGGTATATTCCCTTGCCTTAAGATCCGCTTCGTTAAATTCAGGCCAGAGTGATGAAACGGACAGCAACAAGCAAGAATGTCTGTACATTATTTTGATATCCCGAAAGATATTACATCCTAAAGTCAGATGGATTTTTTTACCTTGTTTAGGTTCTTCAAATAGCTTCTGAACTCAGTCTGACCAAACACAGTTAGCATTAGTTCAGCATTTTAATGCACTGTTATTTTTGTTATGTTGAAATCTGTTACTTAAAATTTCTGAAAAAGCTTTTCGGAAATTAGAACAAATTATGGGGACTGGGGGTGGGGTGAAAATTTTATTCTCGTAATTGATTTCTCATGACTAACAGATTTTAGAAATTATCTACCCATTTGCCCAAATAGGCTTCTTTCCTGGTTTATCTGCGTGAAAAGTACATGCAAGCGGTGGTTTTGCACTTCCCTGAAAAAATTCGAAGAAGCGAAAAAAGGCCACCATCAGGAGCTGCAAGGTAATAAGTTAAAATTATGGTTTTACTGTCTAAATGACATTAACGATGAACTCCATTTTTCCATACAAAGGAGAATCATGTCACAAGAAAATGCGAACATAGGGCGTAGCTAAAAATCAGAGGAATTATAATCATAAAAAAATCAAACAAAAGGAGAGGAAGAAAAGATGATAGGCAGAAGGACGGAATAAGTCAAGGATGAAAATCAATGAAAGATGCAGCAGTATCTAAACAAAACTGAGCTCAAACGGCGAAAATACACAATGTAATGAAAGAAAAATCTATTTCTCACTCTACGCCAGCAGCTCTATTTCTAGAAGCCTAGGAGGGCTATTTAAACAGGCCACGCCCCCCCCCCATGGTATTTAAGTGCATAGGACGCAGAATCGGGTCTCTAGCTTGGGTTGAGCAAAAGTACATTTAACCAAAGAACTTTTCCACGACCCCTAAGTGACAAAATATAGCACTGATGTATTGGAGGAGCTTTCGATACCGGCGTTGAATATGTCATATGAAAAATAATGAAACTCCGCCATGGCCGGTCCCAAGCCCGGATGAGAAAGGAGGAGGGTTGGAGACCGTGGCAAGTC